TAGTTTATAAAAAAAAAATTGACACTGACAATTATAGTTATAATGATAGTTGAAAGGGAAGAATATTGATAGGTAAAGAATAAATATGATAATTGTGGTAATGAGAGTGATTGTTTATATATTTATTAATTCAGTTTTGCTAGGTGGGATTCATATAGAATTTAAGATTTTCCTTAATATTTTGTGGAATGCTTTGCGTGAAACTCACATTAGAGAATTTTGATTTATCAATAGTTTAAATGGGAAACAAACCCCTTTTAAGCAACCATGATTAATGTCTAATTTTATCTTGGTCAACCATTTGTTTAATAAGGAAAGTGAATGGAGGAAATTCATTATTTTCAAGTAATAATTCACACTATGGTTTAGTTGCATTGATGTAATTGTAGTAGGTTTGTGTTTCACTTATTTATTGTATTAGATTTACCCATAACGAAGATATTCAATCTACAGTAAAATACCATATCAATTTGTTATAAAGATCAGTAAAAGTATTGGTTGTTCACAAGGGGTTTATGGCCTATTATAGACTTGTATGGAGAGAGCTCATTTCTAATTGCTCTGATATGAAAAAAGATGCATAGAGTTCTTATTCATTGAGGAATTACAGGTTTGTACGTTTGTGTAGAATGTGAATACGAGCTGTTCTCCAGCCAAGCCAAGTATGAGCACCACACACCATGGCCAGCTTTTACTAAGACTGTCCATAAGGATTCAGTAAGCAAGGTTCCAGAGGAGGGCCGACCAGGAGCTCTGAAGGTAAGGAATTAGGAACCATTTTGAGTATCAAGTACAAGTGTTTGTGCCTTTCTATTTTGCCCACTGTGTTCCTTCTCTTACACTTATGTATGCACTAAATATAAGGTCTATGTTCATGTCTTAATATAGTACACAGCACCCATATACTTAGGTACTCATGCTTAAGCCCTGAGCACCTATATTTTTGTGCTAAATCTTCATTTATTCACTCAGAATAGTTTTGATAATTCAGTATATAGTGTTAAGTAATATCCATTAGGATTATATCTTTTCCTTTGAAATGTTTATTATTAGAATTTATTATTGGATTTGGAATTTAACTAATATTGTGATGATTTTAGGATTAATTATGAAGTACTATAGTCCCCTTATTTCATATCCTTCCAGGAGCAACACTCCTTTTCCATAGATATGGATGTGGTTAGAAAATATAAAGTGTTCATTTCACTGTCCATTTAATCATTTAAATTATATCCACAGATAATAATCAGGCTTATTCTTCTTTGAGTTTAGGTTATTAACCACATGCTGCCGGGGATGGCATGTGCATACATGCTATATCCAATATGTGTTTAATTTAGTAATTGTTTTTACGTATAGATGGCTCTACAAGTACTAGGTCACCAATGAGCAAATTACAAGAAGTGCCATCTATGTGCAGATATTCAACAGAAGACTAAAGTGAACACAGCATTTTCTTATGGCCATCTATGCACATACAAGGCTCCAAAAGTACTTAGTTACAAAGGAGTCAATTTCTAGTACTACCCATGTCACATGTTTACTATCCCTTTCCTGATTTTTGAAAATATTGATTTTGTCGTATATTTAGTAAAATTGATAATATAATGATTATAATGTATAGTAAAAATAACAGCATCAATATTGATAGCATTAGTTTTTTTACTCAAGGAAAGGCTAAATCAGGAGAGGTCAGGAGCACTATTAATTGACTTGGTGGCTGAGCACTTGTGGAGTCATATATGTGTAGAGGTATTTCACTAAGGAAAACTAGAGTGAACAAATTTTTCTAATGGCATGGGGCAAAAAAATTAGAAACAGTAATATTTAATATATTTTGAAGAATTAACTCTCTAGAGAGATGTTAAATATTTTTAAACAATATTGATTTCTGGTCAGAGTTAAGAATGATATCAGGTTAGAATGCAACTTTTCATGTTCACTTTGTTTTTTTAACACATATAAACAAAACATAAGACTAAACATGGCAATAAATAAACAGACTATAAACAAAACATAAGACTAAACATGGCAATAAATAGACAACAGACTAAGTATGATTATCATATATTATTATGTACCTGAAATTAAATAAACTGATTGCAGAGAAGTAAAATTTTCAAAGAATAAGTGATATAAACCTTATATGCATTATTTGATAACATCAAACATTACTTTAAGAATTGTAGCAAAGTTGCATTGAGAATTATCAGTTATGGGGAACAAGAAGCAAATTAGGTAGAATTGTGGCTACAAATTAAACCAGTGCCAAGATAACAGCAGTATAATTACTATGAGTGAATGACTTTTTGCTTCTGTTATAATGTTATTACTTAAGATATTTAGCTTTTTTACTTAATTTTGGGAATATATTGTTACTTTTTTCTATTGATTGTATTATGATTTATTCATGCCTATTCTTAGCCCCTTGATTGAAGGTGCTTTGCTGCCTTCACATGGCATAAAATCTGGGCATAAGGCTTACTTGAGTGGCCACACTCACAGGTGTGTGGCTTGTAAGCCGAGTGCACACAAACTCTGATGGGGGGAGTTAAGACTCCTTACCCAGTCTTTGCAGTGTTATTATCTTTTTTCCATGACTCAGTGCATTGATCATAGCGATAAGTACCCCCCCCCATTTTCTTCTTAAATTAAATTTTTTGTAATACAACCTATGCCACCAATCATGGTAGGAAGCATTAGGATCCTGAGTATGGAAATGGTGTTCTCCCTGGAGCCAGCATTCTTCCAGTCATGGCTCAGGGATGGTACATTCCACACTTGTTATTGATTGAAATAATACAGAAGCCCCTTCTTAAGTGCCCAGGTAATTTAATTACCCACCAAAACCTTTGCGCACTCGTGGCAAGTCATTCCTATCACTCTAGCCTTCAGTCGAAATTAGAAAGAAAAAAATTAGCCTTCAGTCGAAATTAGAAAGAAAAAACTTAGCCTTCAGTCGAAATTAGAAAGAAAAAACTAACATTTGGTTATTTGTGTCATATATCTTATTTTTCATAATTTTAAATTTTCCACAATAAAACCTACACTGCTGGTTACAGTGGCCAGGAATACAAAGGAAATGGCATCCTCCTAGAGCCAGCACTCTTCCAGTCACGTTTTTGTTTTACGCACATTTCATTCCACATTCATTTATCGATGGGAATAATGCAAAAGCCCCCTTCTAAGTGCCAAATCAGTTTTATCATACTTGGCCCGTGACCAATTTGTCTTATGACAGTGTGTTCACCTCACCTGGCCCTAGGCCCAAATTTTTCCATGAGGGGACAGTCACATCACCCAGATCCTAGGGGTTAAAGGCAAATTTTTTCAAGATGTGATGGTCAAATCCTCTTGATCAAATGGGTTAATTTGTTGGCATGTGACAGACATTAGACTTACTTGAGTGGCAACTCTCCCAGATGTGTCGGCTTGTAGGCCCATCCCACATTAACACTCATGTGCTTAAGATTCCTTGCCTTCGCTTTACAATGTTATTATCTTCTTACTGCACCCCCCCCCCCCATTTTCAAGTGTTCATATTTGTCATTTGATATGTATTATCAAGGTAGTAACAGAATGTTTTCTTTGCACAGGCTCCATATTGCCACTCTTGGTAGTCTGTGATTCCATGCAATAACAATAAGTAACTGTTTGTTATATTTTACTGTTTGTGTATTATCTAATTTTATGTGACGCAACCTGCACAGCAGGTCATAGCTGGCAGGAATAGGATTCTGATCATAGAAATAGTTTACTTCCTGGAGCTGGTATACCTTCAGTCATGGCTCTCAATTGGTACTTTCCATATTTGTTTACTGTGTGTAAATTATGCAAGAGCTCATCCCTAAATAGCCACGGAATCTAATCTTCCTCCAAGAGCTTTTTGCACTTATGTCAAGTCATTCCTGTCACCCCAGCAGAATTTTTTATGACAGTATATTTCCATTACCCCAGCCCTCAGCTTAATTTTTCTATGCTGGCATATACCCCACTCCCAGCATTTAGCCAAATTTTCTCTTAACATGACAGTTATGGCACCCAGATTCATTGGGAATAGGATACTATTTAAATAGTTTTGAGGTTAAATGTAGCATGATTTCAAGTAATGAATATTTACCTTATGATGTCAGTAGAGTAAATCTGTATAAATAAAATGCATACAATATGGGAGATTTAATGTTCATTCTTCTGGGTCCAGAAACTCATTTTTGCAACTGGGTCATTTAGTGTCTACTCATGATTTGATGATGGGATGGCAAGAATATATGCTAAGCCCACTGTGTCTTTCTGTTTATTGCTTGTGTTCATGATGCAGTGAACTATCCTTATTATTAACTTACTACGTTTCACATATTGATATGATAAGTATCAACCAGTAATACATATATTTACCGTTTACATTTATCATAAACTACCACCTTTCTATCCCCTATCAGGTGTCATGTGGAAAGTGTGGCAATGGACTGGGACATGAATTCCTTAAAGACGGACCCGACGGAAAGATGTCAAGGTTCTGAATATTCTCACACTCCCTCAAGTTTGTTCCTAAAACTGGTATGGAAGGGTATAAGTTTACTTTACATGACCTCTTCAGTTTGGGTCTTTTATCTGGTTTTCTGTGCTAGTGGGAAGATACATCTATCAGTGATGTATGAACATCTTACCAAATACAGTTATACTGTATCTTACCAAATAATGTATATTACAGACCTTATATTCATGAAATGGCACCATTTTTTATGGAGGAAAGTGTTTCATTGAGATCTTAAAATTTAGATACATTGTTATAGTATATATTTAATTAGTTTATATAATACTTCAGAGATCTTGTATGATTAATTGCAAAAAGTGCTTTATATAGGAATAGGATTTGTAAACAAGCATTCTCCAATTTTTATTTGAAATGTTGACTTTCTTTTTTTGGCATTACCAGGGGGAGGCCAGATCCTGAATGGATCAGGTGAGGCAAATGGAAATTCCTGAGACAGGGAGGGCAC